TCCATCAAGTGAGTAAAGTGAGTTCTGGATGGAAGGATGTATTCAGGGTTAAACTGCCTGATCATTTCACGAAGCCCTTCACCATCAACCATCGACATTGGTCTCATAACCTTGACCAGCATGGTCAGGATTGAGTCCGTTAGCGCTGTGGCTTGTTGGAGAGGTACAGGCCTTTTCCTTTGAAGATACTGATCCATGGGACTGGCACAGCTCCTCTTTTGTCACGGTTTTGGATTGTTTTCATTTTCCACCTTTTATTTTGAAATGTTTTCCTCCTTGTGTCTTGTCTGATCCTTCTTCCTGTGTTTGCCTTCCTGTCGTTAGTTTCCCTGGTGTGTCTGATTGTCTGATTGTGTTCACCTGTTGCCCTTGTGTTTCTGCCTCCCTTACCCCAGCTGTGTCTTGTCTTGTGATTACCCCTCTCTGTATTTAGTCTTGTCTTCCCCTGTGTGCCTTGTCGGTTCATTGTTTTTCCTGTCTCCCTCCATGTTAGTCACGGTCAGTTTTGTTTGTATTCGCTACCTTGTGCTATCTATGTTTTTTCATGCCTTGTTTTTGTGCTCATCGGCTTTGGAATAAAGCTCGCCTTTTGTTTATAGACCTTTTTCCTTTTTGAAGTCTGCATTTGGGTCCTACCTTTGCCCAACCCTAACAGAATGAACCGACCAGCTTTGGACTCAGCAGATTCAGATTTTTTTATTCTACAGGCAGAACGTCTTGGGTACTCTCTAGAGCAGTGGTTCTCAACTGGTTAGGCCTCGGGACCCACTTTTTACTTGGTCAATACATCGCGACCCAACATTTTGAACCACTCAAATCTATTCAACAAAAAATCGTGCTATAATATATACGCTTTTGAGCATACAATATTAATAAAAGTGAAGTACAGTGCATATATCCCTTATATCCCTTCACAGAACTAAAGTATGCTTTTAAAAAAGGTTTAATGAGATGATGGAATCAAAGCTGAACAGCATGTGTGCCTTTTTAAGGCTTTTTAGAAATACTAACATAAACTACGCATTCTGGTACACTCTGAGAAGAAAATAAATAAATCTATTACTACCCGACATATTAATAATATTTTATGCCATTGTTTGTTTTTCACTTTGTTCTGACATCTTGCTGCGAGAAGAGCAAAGAGGAGAGAGTCTGTGTGACTTACTTTAAATTGTGGTAAGGGTAGATAGCTCCCATTGTTCTGTGACCTGTCAATCATCAAACCGGGGGTCATATTTCATTATGTGTTCATTTTTATCTGAAGTTGTACCCATGGATGTATAAAGAAGAGTTCTACCGCAAAGTTATTCTCCGTGGGGACTTCCGGCAACAATCTTGATTGGCCAGAAGACTCGAAAAAACATCAGCAAAGATATTTTATTGAGAAGATGATCGTGACAGAAGTTTTCAAAACCGTTTATGGTCTCCGGTACTTCCAGTCAAACGCCGACTGCATGCACAGCGTTAGAAAATCGGGCCTTCAAAATAAAAGTTTGACTTTTTCCCCCAAAAAAAACTTTTTCACACATCCGCGACCCACTCCAAACGGGTCCGCGACCCACTTTTGGGTCGCGACCCACCAGTTGAGAACCACTGCTCTAGAGTACCTTTTTTATACCTGGTATGACGTCACATCTATACGGGGTAGAGTGGCTGCTTTGAAGGAGGCACGCCAGGAGGTTGCTCGCAAGCCCTGGCTCAGGGGTTTGTTGCCTGAGTGGCTACAACTTTTTACAAGTAGTCCTGGAAACGTTTCTCAAGCCTCTAACCCTTTCCTGGGATCCGACTACTGTCCTGTTGGAGGTCCACGGCGTCTCCAAAAGGCCTCTAAGAGACGCAGGGCCAGGATTCCAGCCCGTGCCCCAGCAGCCATGGTTTCAGCCCCAGTTCTGGCCCCAGCAGCCATGGTTCCAGCCCCAGTTCTGGCCCCAGCAGCCATTGTTCCAGCCTCAGTACTGGCCCCAGCAGCCATGGTTCCGGCCCCAGTTCCGGCCCCAGCAGCCATGCTTCCGGCCCCAGTTTCGGCCCCTGCTGCCATGTTTCTAGCTCCAGTTTCGGCTCCAGTACTGGCTCCCCGGCCGACGCCAGCCCCCCGTGTTTTGTCAGTGGTTCGGCCCACTCCAGCCCCTCGTGTCCTGTCGGTGATCCGGCCGACGCCAGCTCCCCGTGTCCTGTCGGCGTTCCGACCGACTCCAGCTCCCCGTGTCCTGTCGGCGTACAACCCGACACAAGTCCCCTCTCGAGTCCCCTCTCGAGTCCCCTCTCGAGTCCCCTTTCAAGTCACCTCTCGAGTCCCCTCTCGAGTCACCTCTCAAGTTCCCTCTCAAGCCCTCTCTCAAGTCCCCTCTCTAGTCCCCTCTCTAGTCCCTTCTTCAGTCCCTTCTCTAGTCCCTTCTCTAGTCCCATCTCAAGTCCCTTCTCTAGTCCCTTCTCTTCTCTAGTCCCTTCTCTAGTCCCGTTCCAAGTCCCTTCTCTAGTCTCCTCTCAAGTCTCCTCTCAAGTTCCCTCTCGAGTTCCCTCTCAAGTCCCCTTTCAAGTCGCCTATCGAGTCCCCTGTCAAGTCCCTACCCAATGTCCTGGTCCGTTGGAGGTTCCGCTGGGGGTCCTGCCAACTCCTTGTCCTGTCCCGTTGGGGGTTCCGCCGACTACTCTTCTGCCGGGGGTCCTGCCAACCCTATGTCCTGTGCCGTTGGAGGTTCCGCTGGGGGTCCTGCCAACTCCATGTCCTGTCCCGTTGGGGGTCCCGCCGACTACTCTTCTGCCGGGGGTCCTGCCAACCCTATGTCCTGTGCCGTTGGAGGTTCCGCTGGGGGTCCTGCCAACTCCATGTCCTGTTTCGTTGGGGGTCCCGCCGACTACTCTTCTGCCGGGGGTCCTGCCAACCCTATGTCCTGTGCCGTTGGAGGTCCCGCCGACTACTGTTCTGCCGGGGGTACTGCCAACCCTATGTCCTGTGCCGTTGAAGGTCCCGCCGACTACTCTTCTGCCGGGGGTCCTGCCAACCCTTTGTCCTGTGCCGTTGGAGGTCCCTGCGACTACTGTCCCGCCGGGGGTCCTGCCAACTCTGTGTCCTGTCCTGTTGGAGGTCCCGCCGACACCTGTTCCACCGGGGGCCCTGCCAACTCTGTGTCCTGTCCTGTTGGAGGTCCCGCCGACACCCGTTCCACCGGGGGTCCTGCCAACTCTGTGTCCTGTTCCGTTGGGGGTCCAGTCGACACCAGCCCTTGCTCCATCCGGGGTCCTATTGTCCCATGTCATGTCCAGGATCCCGTCTACGCCTGTCCCGTCGGCTCCGGTTCCTGTTCGGCCGACACCGGGTCCTGCCCGGCCTCCGGAGCTGTCCCGTCATGGCCTTCCTGCCCGTCCTCCAGAGCTGTCCCGTCACCGCCTTCTTGTTCGCCCTCGAGCCCGGCCCCCTGAGTGCCGTGGCCTTCGCCCTCGAGCCCGGTCCCCTGAGTTCCCCAGCCGTGGTCTTCGCCCACGAGCCCGGCCTCCTGACTTGTCGAACTCTGCCTTGCCCCCGGGCCGTCCGCCCGAGAACACCTTCTCGAACTCTGCCTTGCCCCCGGGCCGTCCGCCCGAGACCCCTTCCGGGTCCTTCGCTGTGCCCCTGGGCTGTCAGCCCAAACCCGTCCTCCAGACCCCCTCCACCCACCCTTTTTTGCCCTAGTACTTGGTGAGAGCCGTTCTTGTTATCGTTCAATCGTTGGTCCGCACTCACTGCCTGCCAAAATCCACTCGCCTTTTAAAAAGCTTGATTTTGTTCCCCAAACGTATTCTGTGAAGACCCGCCCCTACTCTGATTGGTAGGTTTCAGCACGAGGAGTGAGATGGGGTGGGTCTTAACGGAATACGCGAGAGAGAGAAGTCATAACAAGTGGTACAGGACAGGTAGACGACGTGTTTTTCGGATGGAAAATGAGCCAAACGCGAAAACGCAGCAGCATTTGGATGCACTTCAACCAAAACCCAGGCAGTGATAAAGCGCACCATTTGTAAAGACAAAATATCCTTTAAAGCAGGGTCAACAAATAATCTCCATCGCCACTTAAAAACACACTATCTAATATTAAGAGTTGCGTGAATTTCATTCAAGCCAAGGCAACTTTATTTAGTTAACACATAGCCTACAGAGGGTAAATTCAAAGTAGTACATTCACTGACATTAATGACATGGATATGGCACCACCTTGTGTCATGTTTACAATGCAGATTATTGACATTAGGTCTGGCAATAGTCAATCATTATCCTGGTGATTATTTCGCAGATAAACCTAGTAACCCCCGCCCCCTTTAGAGATTTTTTTGAAATTCTAACATATAAACTACGCATTCTGGTACACTGAGAAGAAAATAAATAAATCTATTACTACCCGACATATTAATAATATTTTATTATTTCATTGTTTGTTTTTCACTTTGTTCTGACAGCTGAACTTGCTGCTCCACACAGAGAGAAGAGTAAAGAAGAGATAGTCTGTGTGAATTACCTTAAATTGTGGGTAAGGGTAGATAACCCCCATTGTTCTGTGACCTGTCAATCATCAAACCGGGGGTCATATTTCATTATGTGTTAATTTGTATCTGAAGTTGTACCCATGGATGTATAAAGAATAGTTATACCGCAAAGTTATTCTCCGTGGGGACTTCCGGTAATAATCTTGATTCTGATTGGCCAGAAGACTCAAAAAAACCTCAGCAAAGATGTTTTATTGAGAAGATGATCACTACGTGACAGAAGTTTTCAAAACCGTTTGTGGTCTCCGGTACTTCCAGTCCAACGCCTACTGCATGCACAGCGTTCGAAAATCGGGCCTTCAAAATAAAGGTTTGACTTTAAAAAAAATCTGCGTCCCACTCGAAATGGGTCCGCGACAAAGTACTACTTAATTTAGTAAAAATGAGGGTACACAAAGCAAACACTGGGTTAACACTGTGGCAAACATGCCTCTTATTTCCCATTGAAATTTGAACAAACAAACACTGTGTAGACCTACATATTGATTTGTACTGCTTTTTTTTTTAATGTGTTTTCTTCCATCAGAAATAGTAAAAGCCATACAATGTAGCAAACCAAAAAATGACAGCGCTCTATACAGGCATAGTAGCTCATTCACACACATTCTACAGTCCACATTATCTGTCAGAGTGGGGGAGCCACTGGAGCTTCCATCCCGACAAACACATGGAGAACATTCAGTTTGAAGTAGAGGACGTCCTCTTTTCAGGCAAAAATAACGATTCTTCTGTCAAGACACAGTTGTCAAAATGAAAATCCTGCTGATATCTGTCTGTGTGGATCTTAAAGGGCCGGTAAGACTTGAGGATGCTGTGTACAGATTACAGTCAGCAGCACTAAGCTAACAATAGTATTTGAGCATGCAGGCTCTTGCTAATAAATAATGGAACAATCTAGTCAGATATAAAAGCCCTTTAAGTGCTGTATTCTTTTCTTTACTAGTAGGCCCCCATGGTAATTCATTACATCATGCTGCCAACTGATATAAGAGCATCAGAAAAGGAAGGAGTCATAATCTCTTAATGTCTGAAGAGTTACTATCTATTGCCAAATAAAGTAACACAATGGTGACTGAGTGTATGGTTTTGCAAAATCCATATGTTTGCAGTATTGTGAACTGGATGTCTGTATTGACTTCATAATCAATGAATAACTTTATTAATTGTATTGCTGCCCTCGGTATTCTGGGACTTGTAGTTTTAATACAAATTAGCTGTTACCACCAGTAAATAGGGTGTCGCCAAAACAACCAGGAATAAAATCTTAAGGTTTCACATTTCAAAATGCCAAAATAAAATTGTATGATAAGGAAAAGGCCAAATTAATCAATGTGAAAATCAAAGCTCATTTTCTCAGTGTTGAATTTACCCTTTGACGTGCCACAGCTAAAACACTGTTAGAAATTAAAGTGGTTCCTTTTGTAATGATGTCTCCTGACCACATGAGGGCAGCAGCTACTGACTGATCCGACTAGTGTTCCAGGAACAAGCTCCAGACCCATGCTGAGGAGAAACTACAACATGACTACAGGAAGTAGTAACATGCAATAATGACATGAAAGGGTTCCATTAATGTCCATTTTCTCCTCTTTTGACAAGTAGAAACACAATGATAATACTTCAACATTTAAGTGCTAATCTTGGACATTGTCATACTGATATTCTGTACAAACTGTGAAGTCCACTGAGACAAATGTAACATTTGTGATATTGGGCTATATAAATAAACATTGATTGATTGATTGACAATGTATTCTAGGCAGGTTTAAGTTAATAAAACAATTGTGTTGGCTTTAGAATAACTCCAATTTGGACTTTAGTAGCAGAAATCTTTCATACAAAATACCCCCCCTCATAAACAAAGCCTCCCCACAAAATGTTAACAAAAGAAAGAAATGCTGTGATAAAAACATAAAAAACAACAACAGTTGAAATGCACACACTTTACACCTTATATATATGTCAATGCACTTGCCAAAAATAATAGAAGAGAAAATATCTTTTCTTCTCGCTTTCAGTAATCTTGGTGTATACTTTATAATACATGTATACAAGATAACATAGAGCAACAAAGCATAAAAATAAATATCTTAAGTCACTGTTTGGAAGTTTTTTATATATATCTATATATGTATATTTATATGTATAGCTTACTTTTGGGTAGGGTGTTAACAGTTTTGGCCGGCTGATGCGAAAGAGCTATTGACGGAATAACCGGAAAAACTGAAGAGCAGTATAGCAACACTTTTCTATAAAGTTTGTCACGGAACAACGTTAGGCCCTTCAGTAATGCGCGAAAAATAGTGTGACTGAACATAGAATGGTGGCAGACAGGATGTTTATCCCCCAAAAATCCAGAGAATTTGCGTAGATTTGCAAGAAAATCATTTTTTTAGCTTTCAAAATTCCAAGGAATAACCTCTGTCAGCGCACTACTACATTGAAAAGGTGGAATTCTGAAGAATCACCTAGTTTCCAAGTTTTGCTATTTGCATACTTAAGACAGCCTTTACGGTTTTTTCTTCTTAAAAAGCTCTGCATTACAGAAGAAAGGCAGGCACCACATGTCTTCTAGAACAGTCCTACTCATAAAGCAATCTAGATTATTTACAAACACCTGACCGGCTGCGGAAATGTCCGGAGACAATTCTTGCGCCATGGCACAGGTGCGGAATTGACCTACAGTATCAGTACATACAGAAAGAAACAGTATTTTTTGATTAAGCAGCCACATTTGTTTTACAAAAGAATACTTCCGACCCTCCGACAGCGGCGCACTAAACGCGCCCCGACTACTTCTTTTTTTAAATCTTTGGTTGACCAGTCGGAAAGCCTGATAGATTTACAATCCACCTTTTCATCGCACAACTTGACTTCTTCTTTAAAAAAATAAAAATGAAACAATTGCTAACAAGATAACATTTGCACACTCTACGTCATTCCCCCTTCCTGTTCATGCATTACCCTGCCAGGGCGATCGAAAATCACCCCCCCATTGTCACACAGCCACGCCCCATCCTGCACTTCCTCTGATCCATTCTGGAGTCCGTCCAAGAAGAAAAGCACAAATGCACGCAAGACACACGCACACGCACACACACACACACACACACACACACACACACACACACACACACACACACACACACACACACACACACACACACACACACACACTCCGTCTTGTTCTCTTTCACGCACAGACACATGTAAATGTAAAAAGGGCGGGAAAAATAAGGTGACGCGTAAAAATCAAATCGTCCAAAAACTGAAAGTAAGTGTCTGTGGTTTAAAGGACATTAAAAAAAGGCATTGAAATAAAAAAGCGGCAGGGTTTGTTGACGGCGATCATCGTTTCTGCACGGCGATCATCTTAGAGACGAAGTTGACGATGGCGTTGGCGGGCTGGTCGGGGTCCATCTCGGCGAAGAGGTGGCTCACGTTGTCCGTCGTGCTTCCCTGCTTACGCGCCACGAACCCAAACAGCCTGGAAACACAAGGTTAGGGGTTCATTAGTAAAGCTGCCATGTTGAAGCATTGGACTGAGGAGATAATGCCTATCTATTAATACATAACATTTCTTTATATATTAGAATGCCTGTGGCGGCTATATTCCCATTGAATACGGCCGCTCTGAGGCTAAACTTTGCTCATTTATGTGATATTTAATATTGAAAATCAAAACAATAAACAAACAGAATCATACGGTCAACAGAAATCAGAGCTAAGCTCACCCCCATTGTCATGCTACTAAACCTCCACATACACCAGGTGCCCTAAATACCATTAACCACACACAATTACCGGAAACAACCCATTACAAGTGTGTGTGTAAAATAATGAAGATAATATAACTATAAACACAGGCTACCACAGCATTTTGGTTCCTACAAAGTCCAAGGTCACTGCTAGGTCACACCATGTAAATCTTTAGGTGGCACCTTTTTGAGTTTCTGGCATGTATGTTTTCATTTCATTTCAAACCTTTATTTAACCAGATTGAGATCATAGATCTCTTTTTCACGGGAGACCTGCAAATGTCTTGACTACAGCTAGATCTGTCCTAAGACCCCTGTGCTCTGTTTGGAAGTGACAATGTGTGTTTATTTGGCCAAGTTTTGAATAAACTAAAAGTAATAAATAAAAGTTTTTAAGAAATCAGTTCCAGTGTTCCAGCATCTTCTTTTTTGAGTCAATGTTACAAAAATAATTTCCATCACACATACAGTATCAATATTCCACAGAATATATATATATAAGAGATTTTAAAGGACATTCATTTAGATTGATGAAAGTAGCCACTAGCTTTGATAATGAAGACGTTTTAAATGTTTAAAGGTTTTTGCAGGTAACAATATTTTTTGTCAGGAACTGTTTGTTATTGTAATACCCATTTTGACCACAAGAAGGTGAAGTGCACCACCTCCCTATGTCCTACATCTGACTCAAAAGATGTATGTTTTCTTACAGGAGAGTAACAATAACTCTATGCACCCTAAATAAAAGGTACAATTATGTTGTTTCGGCTTAAAAGATGAGTATGTGTACTAGGCACTATATGTAATGTGGACTACAGAAGCATTGTGATTCAAAAAGTTGAACTTACTTAGCTGTGCCGCCTTCAGGCTTGTTCCACCTGAAAAGATTTGAAGAAAGTTTGGGTTAACACTAGAAATGCAGATCAAAAAATGGTGGACTAAGAATACATTATCTATAATACATAAGAAATAATTATACAAGGAGATACAGCTCTGGAAAAAATGTCTGTTGAATTCCAACACAGAGAAATGTTGTCAGTAGTTAGTAGTAGAATCAAATAAAAATGTTAATTTGACTCAAACACATACCTATAAATAGTCAAACCAGAGAAACTGATAATACTAAAGTGGTCTCTTAATTGTTTCCAGAGCTGTAGTGTTTGGACTTAATTCAGATTTTAAAAAGTATCTTAGAACTCATCTGAGCAGCCTGAATCAAACCACTTTTGGAATAAAAAAGATAACCTCCTGTACTCACTTCCTGTCCTGAGGGTCAGTATCGCAGAACGTGACAGTGTTGGTAGGATAGTGGCGTCGGAAGAAAAGCCTAGAAAAGCAGAATACAAAAATGGAGATTAGAAAAATAAAGATAATACAAAGAAAATGTACACGTTGAAGATGTTTATTCTGTGGATTAGCAGATGATATGTTCTATAGTATGTCAAAATCTGGAGGAAGCATTAAGCAGTAAGGGGGGGGGGGGGGTTAGTGGTTAGTATGAACTTTAAACTGACTACAACTCAACTCAGACTCTATTAAGTGTACACCAAATGATCAAACTCACTTCAGTATTGTGTCTGACTTTTAGTGTAGCCACTTTTAGCACCTTTTGTGACTATGTGTGTTTTTTTTCTCAAATGTTCTGGTCTTTGTAGTTGCTTTGTGATCAAGGGGCCATTTACTTGACTTCTTTCCAATGACCAAATTGTGGCAAAAGAAGTCTGATTGCAAGTCTGTGAGAAAATGACCGTACTTCTCACTGGATTTACCACCACAGTAACAGTGACAGTTTTATGGTCTACATCGCTAGCTTTAAGTCTTCTTCAATACAGCATGATGTTCATTTGGTAAATAAAGAACAATAAAGAGGGTATGCTCTAGCGTGAATACCTTAGGATTTACAGGCTGCTACCACATTGTTGTCCTGTTCATGAAAGTTAACTGTAACATTTGATCACCGTAAGATATCGTGTTATGTTGTGTTAAGCTCCACTCTCTTGTGTCACTGCTAGTTCCAAAAATCAAGATGGTGATGCCTAACGCAAACAAAGGTGACTATGTTGACTTCCTATGTGTGTAAATCAACATCATTGCTCAATTTCCTTAAGTTTTTGAGGCCAATATTATGATGAAATATTGGCTGATATAAAAACAAAATGATATATGATGGACAGGACATGGTATATATATATATATATAACCCCTAACATAGCTTTGGTATTTATATAGTCCTACATCTATTTCTAAAACAGTTTCAATATGTTTGCGATAAGCTTATGGTGATGGATCAGTTCATGTTTAAAGTATTATTTGGTTTAAGGTTTTATTTACCTTGGCACTGAACACAAAACAAAATGGGGTTCTTGATGGAAACACTGTCAGATATAATACACCCCTCATACTTTAATCCTGTGTTAGCAGGTATGTATTGCCTCTGAATGTGTGCAGTGGCTCCTGCTGACACGAAAAAACGAAATTGTGTATCTTACGTGTTCAGACAACCCTCTGTCTGCAGCTAAATCTCCTCATGTCATGCAATGTTGATCTTGAGTCATTTTTTAAACATTGTTTAACAGTAGACAGACAGGTGGAATCCAGACTTACTTCCTCTGGTTGTCGGTCAGCGTGATGCCTTGTGAAGACACCTTGAAGTGCACCACGGTGGCAGCAGCTGGGGAGGTGGCAGCCAGTGTCTCAGATATGGCCTTGGCAACAGCCTGAGGGCCTGTCAGGGACTCCATGTCCACTGAGTTGATGTAGAGTACATTGCATGCTGGGAAGAGAGCAAATGTCTTGGTCAGGTAACAAGAAATGTCAAAGTAAAGGCTTAAAACAAGGAAACATATAACACACTAGTTTTGAATTCTGCTCAAAATGCCTGTGTTCACCTATTCATGCAAACATATGTATTTCCTCTTATTTGAGAACATGCTGTCTGGAACAAAGCTGGAGTCAAACAGTTTTAGAAAAGAATCCATAGAAGTCATTCCACATAAAACATTCTGCCTCTGACAGACAAGAAGCTGGACAGTAGTTAACAGACACAATCCGTCAAATGGAAGCCATTTATAATTTATCTTGGTTTGTGCAGGTTAAACATACACGTACAAACATAGAGGATGCACATTCCAGATGTAGGTTTCTGAATAAAAGTGCACAGGGTTTACCATGGGCATCAGCAGGGGCCCTCTGCACTGGGATAACAAGGATGTCATGTTGTCAGAACAAGTGCATAGGATGATGATAACTTCATTATTAATGTCCTAGAATCTCAAAGCTGGGTCGGCTTTAAGAAATGAGATTGAATGAAAGTGAGATTATGTTTTACCTGCTCCTTGTTTCAGCCTCTCAGCCAGAGGATTCGGTGCGGCGACTTCTGGCACCTCCTCAAGGAGATCTAAAAAAGTAAAAAAATACAACAAAGTTACCAAAAATGTACTGAGTTGCACTAAGGGCTCCTGTTGGGTTTGGAGTAGGGATGCTCCGATCGATCGGCCGCTGATCGTTATCGGCCGATATTCACTCTCGGCCGATCGATCGGTACTCTCTATAAAGGCCGATCAGGAGAGCCGATCACATGACGTAAAATACATGACACTTTTCTCTGTGCGCGGCAAAACAAGCTCGCCAAAATGGCTTCACCGGTCTGGCAGTATTTTAAGGTGTCCGAAAAAGACAATAAAATAGCGGTATGCAACGTGTGTGTGAAGCAGAAATCCTGCAGCTCCACCCGCTGTGACGGACCGGTGAGCGGAGCAACACACACACAGTTAGACCTTACACACTTAGCTATTTGATCTAAACTAGTTATAAATATGTTTATTCTTCACTCTCGGGTCACTCATTACTGGATCAGTGAGCTGCATGAGACGGATACTGACAGGCTGTCAGGAGAGGGAGAGCGGGGGAGAGAGAGAGCGCTTCCGTTCATTTCTCCCGTGTTATTATCCAAAGTGAATGTAAACTTGAATAATGTACTTCATTTGAATGTAATAATTAATGTTGGTTGTTGTTTGTGGAATTAATCTGAACTTTTCGATCCGTTACGATTATAAACTGAAGCAATATAAAAATGAGCCCCATTAACTGAGTTTTAAACATCACTTTAAATGGAAGATCCCCATAGCCCCCCACCTGATCGGATCGGCCGATAATGATTCCGGCGATCGGTGATCGGCCCCAAAATGCCCGATCGGAGCATTCCTAGTTTGGAGCAATATGTTGTAATGATTTGCTTTACTAAACATCAGCATATGCCTACTATGTTAATTAACTGGAGGTTCCAATCTCACTTCTGGTATTATATTCTATATATCTAGTGGCAATTATTAACTGACAATTATTGTAATCAGTTTTAAGTTATACCTAGCAACAATATATTACCAGGTTTTAGCCGGAACAAAACTAATTTAAAATGTGGGTACTAAGACCTGAGAGTCAAGTGAGAAAATAAATAGTGCCAACAGTCAGTAGGGGCTCAGTCAGTAGGGGCTTGGACTGTGAGCCGTAGGGTCGCCGGTTCAAGTCCCCGAACAGACCTAAATATGGAGTGTGGACTGCTACTTGGAGAGGTCCCAGTTCACCTCCTGCCCTGCCGTGGTGCCCTTGACCAAGGCACCGGACAACCCCCTTCCCCCCCCACTCCCATTGCTCCCCGGGCGCTGTACAATAGCTGCCCACTGCTCCTAGTACTAGACTCCTGGTACTAGGATGGGTTAAAAGCAGAGAACACATTTCACTGTGTGTGCTCTGTGTGCTCTGCATGTGTGACCATTAAAGAGGGGTTTCATCCCTCCGATTCCAAAATGGTTTTGCCAGAAAAATCTTAGTAAATTCCATATTATTGTTAAATCGGGAAATTGGGGGAAAGAAAGCAATAAAGTTTAACAGAAATGGCAGCATCTTTGTAGGAATCTTCAATCCAAGTGTTGCTGTAATGATCCTTCCTGCCACTAGAGGCTGAAGTGCACCACATCCCATTCTGAAATCAATAATATATTGTTCCAGGTGAGCTTAAGTATGAATGGCCAAATGAAACTCAACTGGAAGAAATCATTATGCTCTTAGTCCTATTTAGAACATGGGGTCTTGGTGCTCTTCAGCCTCTTGTGACAAAAATAAGTATAACAAACAGAACTGGTCCTGGTCAAAACAACCAAAAGAATCACTACCCAAAATGTTACATTAGAGTTAGAAAATGGAACACCAAATGTACGTTTCTCACTCTCCTCTCATGGCTTTTGTATAATCCTAACCATTTTTTTTTTTTTTAATGAAAGTTACTTTGTGTAACTTGTGTTATACTTTTTGTTGAAGAAAGCCTGTTTACATAATGTGTTCAAAGTCTACCTCACACTCACAACAAAGCATCAATTGAAAATGCGTGAACCTTTCTGAACACATTTGGAGCAACAGACCTGTGGTTGGGATAAGTAGTTTGCAGGGTAGGGCCAGCGGTGTGATGGCATGCTGGTAGACCAGGGCAGACAGACAGCCTGTCAAACAGACACAGGACACCGTCACAGACAAGCAATACAGCTACAAAACACTTTACAACAGTACAATGTGCAGTAGTATTCCCCAAGAACTGTAAACACATATAGTTCACAATTAAGCCTCTTTCCACAATTCAACTTTTTAGGATCAATGGATTTGGTTAATATGGCTTCTTTGATTAACAATGGTAAGAAAGATAAACTCTTAGTAAGTTAGAAAAAAACACACCATCATTCTTTTAGTATTAACATCAATAATCCAAACTGAAACTTTACACAAGGAAAAGAGTGATGAATTGAGTTTTGGGTTGAAGTAAACATGAGTTGGATCAGTAAATACTGTTCTTGTTGTAGGATTCCATGTTTTGGAACTTAGAAAGACATTAGTGTTACACTTTTAATCCAAAATCAGTGTGAATGTTAAAGTGTATTTCAGGGAGGATTGAGGATTCCACTGACCAAAGTACGGCTCGTTGGGACAACCCTTCAGCTTCACTCCTTTAGGGCTGCTCTCAATCAGGAAGTGTCTGACCAGCTCGTTGTTGACGTCACCTGCAACAAAAGAGCGGGAAACACAGCTGAGTCACATGCAGACATCACTTCACATCTTTGGTAAATACTTGTTGCATTAGTACTTTATAAATGTTATGCTTCATCCTGCCTCTTACCTTTCTTGTTCTGATGCACTGTGGGGGGAGGGGAGGCCACCTTCATGGCCAAGCCGTAAGCCCCCCTGAACGAGTGACTGTCCCGAATAACGAAGGCTCCTGGCTCCCTCTCTCTCAGCAGGCAAATCGCTGTAACAGGGGGGACATTCAGTTAAGTCATGTACTATCACAACAATCATTTGGTTACCCCTGACCCTAACCCTAACCCTATCATAAACATACAAGACCTGTCCAAACCATCATAACTCTAGATTTGATCCCATTACACATTTGTGTCATAATAAGCGAAGGAATGAGTCTACTTTTGGCCAAAACACTTTGGCCAAACTATACTTTCTCTCACACATACATGCATTCTTCTCTTGCATACATATATTGTCTTCAGACATGCATATATTATTTGTAATATTAAATGTAAACATTGAATGAATGTGCATGAGAGCAAAATATATAAATATGAGCGCTAAAATATATGAATATGAGAGCAAAATGTATATATGTTTGAGTGAAAAATGTATAAATATGTGAGTGACAATATATGAATGTGTGCATTGAAATATGATAATATGAGAGCAAAATGTATGAATGTGTGAGTGTAAATATGTATGTGTGTGAGAGTGAAAATGTATGTATGTAAAAGGAGAATGTATGAGTGTGAGAGGACCAGTATGAATTACGGCCTGTACGGCCCCTCATAGAATCTGCTTAGCCTTCTCAACATATTGCATTCACAAGAATAGGACAGAGAGACAACCCTAAATCACAACATATACATCTCAACAACTGTCAGATGGATTGCCTGGACAAATTGTACAGATGTTCACAGTCTAAAGACAATAAATCCTGTTAACTCGATCCCCTGCCCTTGGATGTCATTTGGTTTAAAGGGAAATGTCTTAACAACGAGATGGATTGAGAACCATTGGTACAACTATGGTGATCTCTTATCTTCCATCTACTGCAATCAAAAATGTAATTCTTCCAATATCAAACACCTTCCCATTCAATGTTTAATTCCAATTAGAAAATGATTGAATACTAGTACACAACACTAAAATGGTGACCACTGTGGACACAATATCTGCCAAACATGAGAATGTTAGCATTGTCATTGTAAGCATTAAGCTAACATAATGCATTGGAGCATTTAGCGCGGCTGTGCCTTAGTACACTGTGATGGTTGCTTTTCTGATGTAGTATGTCTAAGTTAGCTTGGAGCTTAATAACATCACATAATATCAGTGTATGTAGGGGATCATGGCAATGGTAAAGCATCAAGTTTAAGTAACGACCAAGAGCAAAGGCTCATGTCCTGATTCGTTGTTAGAAACATTGCTGTCTGTCTGGATCTCATTAAAACTGCAACATTTAACAAGACCCTTTGTTTCAGACATGCTATCTTTCAAGGAGAAGAGTTTTGATCAATTATAGCTCAATGCCTGTCCACATGTGAGAGTTTAAGGAAGGAAGATGGATGACATGAGCAACACAGGCAGATGTTCCCTAATTCACTACATATGGTGTGGCTTCCTCTGGGAGTGTAAGTATAAACTCTGTGTGTGTGTGTGTGTGTGTGTGTGTGTGTGTGTGTGTGTGTGTGTGTGTGTGTGTGATGTCACTTAATTTGAGCATGTGCTTGAATTTAGCATGATCTAATCCAATATGACCATGAACAAATGCAGGTTTAGTATTGATGGTGCAGCCAATAGGTGCTGACCTTACGACCAAACACACACATACAGGTATGTTTATTTACCAGTGTATGCATTTGTATTTGCCATGCATATTAATTATTGTGTCTGTTTCATGCATTTGTGAAAAGGGATAATTCCAGTACTTGTTTTTGTGAAATATAACGCCATGATTTTGAATTTAACAAAAGCATTAAAGTTCAATCATCCCAACCACATTTTAAATGACTCCACCAGTAACAATGGGGACTTACAGTAGTTCCACATTGAGAAAAAGTACATCAAAGAACGTCCAGTCAAATCTTGCAAAGCACTCCCTCAGCATAATCCACTTCTCCAATGTCCATTTCTATGAGTTGTATGTTCCAAAAATAACATATTCCTGCTGAAATATTGCTAAATACACATTCCTTTTGCACTTCAGCCAGCAAATTTAGCAGTCACTGAACACAGTTGCATGCTGTAAGTGTTCCACTTTGGAAGCAAATAGGGGGTTCGATTTTCTCATATTCCCTGCATGTCCCTAATCATCCTATTCACCAAAAACTAGGTCTTAGGTGGAAAAATCCAATATAATATCAACATTCTTTGACAAACTGGTACACACTGAACTGCCGAAGGAACCTGGCATTACAGTAGGAAGTAGAATTTAAAAGGGCAAACATTTTGCAATAATTGTCTAAAGGTCAGTTAAGGGAGAAAGTTTTTCAGCATCTTACCTTGCTCCCTGGAAATGTCTGGCTTGTACCAGTACTTGGACGTGTCTTGGACAAACTTGACATTCAGGCTGCTCTCGGGACTGCCATCTGCAACGGAAACCAAAATAATGTCACAGAAACGAAATGAAAGAAGTAAACAAAGAAGAACTCCAAAATGTCACGTCTCTCTAAAAAAAGTCATGTCCTTACCGGGCATGTTGAACCTCGAGAAGTCAGAGAGGGTGTGGAAGTAGCCGGGATTGTTTCCTCCACTCATTGGGGACATTATCTTCCCATTCAGCGTGCCGTAGGACTGCGCTCCGTTGGGTCTGTCGCCGCTCGACATGCGCCGCTTCTCCGGAAGCTGGGGCTGGAACCCTGGAGCTGGGCTGCCCTGCCGGAACCCTACCCCCATCCCCATCATGCCCCCCTCCTGGTAGCCTGCGGGCGAGATTGGGAAAGAAGGCGTGGGCGGTCCCTGGTACCCCGAGGAGCTGCTTTGCCGTGACAGGTTCCCGTGCCTCTCATCTGGGGTGGTGTACCCGCTGTGCATGGGGTGACGGTCCAGACTGGGGCTCCTCTGGGAGACCTGCGATACAGACGGGTGACGCCCCAAAATTGGACTCCCTTGGGTGATGGATGGTTGTCGACTTAGCACGGGGCTACCTTGCATGGGTTGGCCAAGGGACGGCTGTCTACTGAGGACCGGGCTCCGCTGGGACCCCTGACCCAACGAGGCCTGTCTGCTGAGGACCGGGCTGCTCTGAGCCCCCTGCGTCAGACGACCCCCCAGGACGGGACTTCCACTGAGGCCCACCATCCCCACATCGAAGCCGTTAGCCGGGGATGTTTGCTGGACTACGATGGAAGCGTCCTGATAAGGATATGAGTGCTGCTGGAGGAGGGGGTTGTAAGGGGAGCCAATGAGGACGTTCCGGTGCTGTGCATGGGGGCTTCCATGGCTGAGGGAGGGTTCTGAGGCGGGGGGGCTGGGGTCTGAGGACACGTAGCTCCCCAGTAGGGTGTTGGCGCCATGGTAGGATTGTGTAGGGGTTGCAGTGCCAAGGTAGGAAGAGGTCGGAGAGCTGGAATTCAGGTAGGAAGAGGTGGGGGTTTGGTATGAGGGGGTGGGAGTGGGGTTGGCGCTCTCTGTAGCCTGGGAGCGGAAGCCGGAATCAGTAGTGGGGTAGGACGGAGTGCTAACGCTGCTCTCTACTAAGAGGTGATCACTGCAAGGGAATGGGATACGCTTATTAAACCAAGGAGTTTGACATTCACCAAAGTGTTCATTTAGATGCATGAATTGGCAGACATCAAACATTAAAGGAATGTATTCCTCCCAACATGATAATTTGTCCATCATTATTACATGGTTTAGTTGAATACTTGATTCTGATTGGTCAATTCAGAACACGTGACACGTTGTTAATCCAGAACAGACAGACCGCTGTCAAGGATTTATGACCGTTGTTAAGGACGCTCAAATCTGCAGAAAGAAGTCCGGTCGATTGAACTGTATACAGTTTGGCTGAAAAGCAAACTGCATGCAGTTTGCTTTTCTAACTGACAAGACAATAGCGACAAGGAAACAGCGGAGAATTAACGGGCAGAAACCCTCCTTTTTACGCAGCGGTCCAGACATAGACATCAAACGGCGACACATATTCAGTTGCCAGTTACTTTTGCATTAGGGCAGGGATATCTAGATACTTTCCAAGGTTTGACATAATGAATTGTGCTACTTTTAAAGCAAGCAACGATGTTTTCAAATCTGTAATCAAAAAGCTCCTCAAAAACGCTATCGAAGCAGTTCCTGCCGTTGCTACGTTAGTTCCTTCATGCCGATCTAGATCCCTCCGCTTCGCGTCGGGCTCCTGATCTGCCTGTCGGTGTTCTTTTACCCATAATGACCGCGTCGCTGCACATTATCCCTTACATAAATCACTCACACCATGTTATCATGAATTCTGGATAAAAACATAGTTTTTCTTGCTGCCTCAAGGGTAGACGAAGAAGCCAAAGTGTTTTAAATAGTAAGGTTTCACTGATTTCTTTTTTTTTTGTTGTTCCAGGGCAATAATTCTTTTTTTAAATTTGAAGGTAACATGGGTTTGATGACTGACATACAAGTGAACATTTTGAGGAGAAGTAGTCCTTTAACATTATTACATCTATACCTATCTACGTCGAAAACAATATGAAAGATGTAAAAATGTTTGTTTATTTTATTTTTATAAAAATCACTACATTCTTGTCCAGCATCCATATTGCATCAAAGAGTGAACGAGCATAATGTGTCTGACTGACCTCTGTGAGATCTGGATGGGGCTGCTGCTGGACAGAGGGGGGTTCAGTGAGTGGGAGGAGGGGCTTCTCTGCTGGGCTGCAGCCTCTCCGGGGGGGCTGAGGCTCCGAGGTGACGGCTGCTCCCCGCCTGTTGATGCCGACATCGCCACAGACTCCACATAGCTTCTTGGTGCTGCGTGAGAGAACAAAACTCTTTGTGAGACAAAAATGACCTTTACTTCAGCTTTACTGCACTTTGATGTTATTCCCTTTAGCACTGTAGTTGGGTGACAGTGATCTTATGCCCCCCAAAAAAAAAAAAACTGAAAACTGAATGGCACAAGATGGAAATAATATGTTTTATGGTATGCTGCCATGAGAGTGGTTGTGACTTTTCCAGAAAGGAAATGGAAATGGTTTCTAAAACAGTTCTACCGAGCAATACTGTAGGTTGAGAGTAATGGGATGGAGGAGATTCAAACGTTGAATGTGGATGATGATCTGTGGCGTTAGAGCAGCATCTTACCTTCCTCCCCCTCACTGCTCTCATCATCTGTGGGGCATCGTTTGAGATAATCCAGAGAAATAGAGTGATTTAAAGGAACAGGTACAGCAAGGGAGTCGGAAATGTATCTCTGCTATAATTGTTCTTTTTGATTAGTAGTGTGTGTGTGTGTATGACTACATTCAAAGAAACTCATGAGGAATATTACTCGCTTTTAAGTTTGACTATTGAGCCTTCAGCTTCACTCAAAACATTTTAGATTTTTGAGAGAAGCTTGTCAATTTGTTAGGCTAGCTGCTTGGCGTAAAGTGTTCAAAGGGGAATCCTATGAGGTAACATACACAAATAGTACATTTTGATTTATATCTTTTTATATGAATAAATGCTGATATTAGTTTTCTGAGATAACACACATATTTTGTAGTTCCCTGACAAAAATACACTGTTTTTAAAGATTTTCTTTACTTTCATCTCAGAGAATTTAAGACTTTGTAATCTCAGTGAATAAAGGAATGTTATCATAGTACAGGGTGTATGCAGGAATCCTGAAGTCAAATGTAATACCTTTTAAGACCTTTTTTAAGACCCTTTCCATACATTTTAAGACCTCATCGCCACTTACATTGGCGACACACTTTACCTCACATTTACTATATACAGTATTGATTGTCCTTCCTCCTTATCTTCCAACCATTTGGACGCAAACTTGCATTTCCCCATAACGATGTTGTTTAACAACCGGCGTAAACAGGCCTTCACGCGCTATCAAGCAGTGAGCGTGCGATGTCCTGTTCAGATGACGTCAAATCCAACGGGATGCCATAAATAAACTACACAGAATCACACTACACACCTACGCAATGATTACATTCAGGCACACTGTAGAATACAACCTCTTTGGACAATTTATATACTTATTGAAAACAAGCTACAAAATGTAATACCTTGGAAAATGCCGTTTAATACTTTGAAATAGCCTTAATTTTCGCTAAATTGATTTATCAACTTTTAATACTTTTTAAGACCCCACGGACACCCTGAAGTAAATTCACCACTTTAATCCCTCATTTTTGTATTTTTCAACTCTCTGAAAATCTGATGTTTTTTGCCCCTGGCTCTATCATTTGTTGTAGTTAAAACAGTGACTTCTTGGATTTAGTTAGTGTGACTCTAATAAAGTGAGAGTTATAACCAACCTGAGCCTGTTTGATGGAGGAGGATGTCTGCAGGGTTGTGGGGCTTCAAGCCCAGCGCGGACAGAGGAGTTTTGGCGAGACCAGGAGGGGACCGACCTGAAGAGAAGAGAAGACTTATCAGCACACAGCATCACACATCTCTGACGTCCTGACAGCTGCTACCTGTTTACTCAATTAACAGTTATTTTTCAGTTTATTTTGGGGAAATAAACCTAATAATGCAGAGGTAGACAGCTGTCAGGACAATACAGCATCAACACAGCTCCACACTCAGGAGCATCATGTTCAGTGTGCTCATGCTCTGATGGAGGGGCAAAACATGCATGTGATTATCACACTGTGACACCACCTCACTCTCCCAACAGTAGAATAAGGTGTGTGTCGAGCTTGGATCGAAGCAGAGCTGGGTCAAACTGAATGAAAAGTATTTGACCACCCAGTCACCTGTCATGTTACAGGAAAATGGATGTTGTACTTCTCAGACATTCACATTAAAACATTACGTTTTAGTTCTGCATAAGCAGTAGCCTAGGTACTATAAGTCCTGAGAGGTTAGAGATCAAAACAACATTTTGACAATTTATTTTCTGAGTCTGATCTAAATAGTTGTATCCCCTGGGTTTATGACACTACAGCCTCTTGTGGCCAAAATGATTATAAAAACAAACACTGTATCATCTATTTTTTCACTTGGTCCCAAAATTAAAAGAAACCATTGCAAGATGATCCAGACAAAACTTATGTTGCACTGGGCAAAACCTTTTTTTCCTATTTTAAATCAAATGTTGCCACAGAATGATTACTGTCCCTGGAAGAACACAGACTCTGCTACAACAGTACATTATGTTACCACAAGAGTCTCAGGTTTGATTCAATAAATAGATTTGATAATGACAAACTGTGAATGTGTTTAATGAAGACACTTAATGGATCCGTCTCTCACCTCTAGTCTTCTCTTCTATTCTTAGTCATTTAAAACTACTACTTTAAAACCTCGTATGACAACATACACAAATTGCTAGCACGACAATCATGGCTGGCAAATTGAGACTGCTGGGGGGGAGGAGGGGGGGGGGGGGGGTGCAGGCAGGGTGCTGGTTGTGTTGGATCAAGGCAGCAACAGGAACTCAAACACAGATGACAACAACACAGAGAGCAGCAGCTGCAAAACTGGAAGCATGTCCCTGTGCTTTATGTGTTTGAGTGTTTGTGTCTGTGTTTTGACACTGAGGCTAATAAACAATTCATTAAAGTTGGGGTTATTTATGTATACGAGCAACTGGCAGGTTGTTTACTTATATGTCCTACTGTGTGTCTGTTGTGTTGCTGGTGCTGCTCTCATGGTGTTTGCATGCCAAAGCGGTGCAGACCTGTGATACGTGATAGGGGGAGGGGCATTGAGGGGGGGATGAGGGATCCATTTGGCTGATGTTGTGGGACAGAGGAACTCCGGAAGAGAGACGTGCATCATCCACTTACCAAAGAATCCCAATTAATTCTTTGTACTTGCAACGTAGATGCCCCACATTAAGTTGTGGGGGGTGTCGGGCAGACTAAGTGAACACTAGGGAGTGTGAGTTGAGAGACCCACTACTCAAGATCACGTGGAATCAGAAGTACATCTTGTGAAGTGTTCACTAATCACTTAGCTAACCATGCACTTTTAACACATTTTGACCATTTCTGCATGACCAATCCTTATTGGGAAAAATATGTTGGTTTTGAGGTCCATACAAACAATCGAAAAATGCTTATCTAAATGCAATCATTTGATCTCAATCTGTTCAAGATTCAAGATCCTAATCGGAGAAAAACAGACTGCTCAGTGTGACTGCGTGAACAATGTTCCCACTTTGAGGGGAAGTAGTGCTGTTACGCCACAGAGCGAGTGTTAAAAATATAGTTTGAGGATTTATGACTTCTTTTTATGGGTGTGCCCTGGGGGGGATAGGCAGAGGGATGAAGTCACTGGTAGAGTTGGCCAATGAGGCGTAACCTTATACATGACTCTTGTTCAGCTGTGGGGCGCATGTAAGACTAAGAGGGGGACTGGGGGTTTGAATTGGTATTTCTGTGGAGATCAACTTGTGAATGTTTGATTCAAAAGAGAGATGAAGATTAAACGTGATCAATAAGCTACATTTTGACTTTAAAAATTATCTCTTTTGTTTTATACAATTTACACCTAATGAAAAATGACTATAAATAATCTCATTAACAAATATTATCTTTCATTCCTTACAAGACTGGCCACTAAGGCATTTTAATGAACCAACCATAATTTGAAATCCAGCCTATTCACAATCCAAATGAAATGAAAGTTAGATTGAGATGAGGTAATAGTGGAAATATTTCTTCACTGCTTGGAATATGTGGTACTTAATGAGGTACATAAAGAAAGGACTAACTGTACGTCAAGATAAAGTACGATGAACGACTGCCAAGACTCTGAAACCACAAAGGAATCTTTTACACCTCAAGACTTTTCCTACAGAGAAGTCTCAATAACATGAACATCTCTGAGTTTCCACCTAAAAAAGATAAATTCACAAGTTGATAAAGTTACTTCATAAGCCAAAAGAAAATGAATGTAGGTACACAACCATCAAGACTAGTCTCCAAATGAGAATGATACCATTGTGAAATCAAAGCTTTTCGTAGGATTTCATATAACTCATACCAATCTTTGAATATCTACGGTAACTAAGCCTGAGCTCCACAGTGCCGCCTGTCAGCCGGAGGGGGGACTTACACAGGTTGAAGTAAGGGGTTTGCGGTGAGATGGGGAAGGCAGGGGTTTGGGGAAACACCTCACCACCAACAAAGGGTGTAGGACTGATGGGGCCACCGTCCATCTCTTCGAAGGCCTCGCGGTAGCTGTGCATGTGTCTCTGAGGAGTGGAACGAGAACACATGTTAACACAAAAAGAAAATAACGTGGGAAACATTTTAGAAAATCAAAGTTCTTTACCTCCTTGGGTCGTCCTCCGGGGTTCATCGCTAAGGCGTTGACAAACTCAGGAGAAACACAGCGGACGGGGGACCGCAGCGGGACGTCGGGGGAGGGGTCTTCATCAGGGCCGTTGTGGTAGTGGCCCTCGCTGGTGTTGCGTTGGCGGGGCAGGGTGGCAGGCTCGTCTACAGACACCGTACGGGCCTGGACTCCTGAGATAAGAAGTGAGTGTTACAATTCAGCAACATTTGATCAACTCTGCTCCATCAGACTGCTCTCCTCCAGCTGCCATCCCCGTCATCACAGGTTAATGGTTCTCAGCCGCTGTGAATGCTCACTGCACAGGCCAAGGCTGAAGGCTGTGGTACTTTTCAACGCAACATGCACACACAAGGTTAATGAAGGATTAGCACACGGAAGCCATTAAGTCGCAAAAATAAAACAAATGATCAAATTCATAGATAAACCCATTCTATGATATTTCCAGTAAAACAAACAAACTATTGTGTTTCAAAGTAACCTTGTCCTTGGAGGTATGTTACATAAAGTAATGTTACCACCTTCTACCATGAGTGGAAACAAAGCAACTCATTTCTGGAACAACAGGACGAAAATGTTCTCACCCCACTTTCTGATAGACTGCTGTATTTTTCTTATCTAATGTGTCGATGTGGCCAAATCTGGCAGAACCTCAGAGCAGCCAGTAAGCTCATTTCAGTTAATCTGGTTTGCACTGAGAGTGAGGAAGCTTCCAGCATAAAACAAACAGGATTTGAGTTAGGAGTTTTATGCTAATATGCGATGCCATTGACTGGCGGCTAAAGGTAAAAAGAATGAAATGCTGGCCAAAGCTGCACGGCCAATGTGAAATATCACTGGCTGCTCTGTGCTTTGGAACAAGATGAAGGTTATTGGGAAAAGAAAGGAAATTACAATAGGGATAAGAAAGCGTGGGAATATTGGAGTAATACATTCTGAGTTGTTGTTTGCACTGAGGAGGTTTACCCAGTGTTTCTTTCGTAGTGTTACTTTGTTCTTATTGTTTAAATTCTGTTACTGAAAGAGATGGTTGAATAGTATGTTTATTAATGAGGCCCTCTCATGCTCATTTTCAGGTCCATATTTATATTTTGTGTCTCTACTGTGACACTCTACTGTCTCCATGCTTTAATGTTCAAAAAGCTCTTTACTTTTCTCATACTGCCTGTGCTGCAGCACCTCTTTTCACCCTCTGTCTGAAACCAGAGCCCAGTCTGCTCTGATTGGTTAGCTAGCTGGCTCTGCTGTGATTGGTTAAACGCTTAGAGATTTCCCGACCCTTAGCCTATTACGTACAATGTGTTAGAGCGCTAGCCAATAGAAGCCTGAGTGTTACGCGCTGATGTCGTTTTGTTACAGAAGTAAACAAAGGAGTCCAATGGAGGGGTTTCAGGTAAGGGGGGGAGAGAAACCAAAGGAAAGGGAAAACCAACAAAAGCATAAAAGGGCCCCTTTAAAATGTGACTTAAGGCTAATGTCAGTTAAGGCATACCCTACAAGCCTGACGATAATAACTATTTGAAAATATTGATATGCCCTTCACTCAACCTTACTTTGAAGTGAGGGTGTAAAAACCTGGCCACATATCTCTGAGGAAAAGGGTTATTGATAGCAGCTGTGAAAATTCCAATACTCAGGAATTGATGTTAGCTGCCATTGCCAATCTATCTAAAAGAAATCCAGTTAAAAGGTTTAACTCTCTCAAAATGTCTTTGTGTTTTGTATTACCATTATTAGGTTATATTTCATTGGGAATCAATGTACGTATTATATATATACCTATACTGTATGTAGATGTTTTGTTTTTACATTTTAGAAATAAATCAACGATACATAAGAGCCAATCATGCCATCTGTTATGACGCTTGATTTATCTCCATCTCCAAATGTCTTGGTGTTGGCAGGGTGATGGTTAATAAATCCTGGAACTGACATCTTTGCAAAGCATGCAGTCAACACACCCAAACAGAAACACACCCACCAACGTGCCGAGGCTATGAACTGAGAACCAGATGTACCCACGATGCATTGCTCAGCAGCAGTCAAACACTGCGCCGTTGCCTTAGTGACGGCGCTAATGGTTTCCAGCTGGGATCGCTGGAGATTCTCAAGGTCTGATATTTCTAAGCTATTTAAAATCCAGTCATCATGAGGATAAGCAGGGTTGATTCCAAAAACATAAATTTGATAGGTGATCCTTTTTATTTTAAGGGAGGGAAACCACAGTGTCCAAATGTGCACACCTGCAACTATAAAAAGGGTCAGTTAAGGTAAGAAAAGAGGTTCCTGGTAAGATCAGATCATTAACAGGTTTTGGTTTGAAAGTCTTAATGTGGCGTTTCATTTTTTTTAAAGGAATTGCAGTGAATTGTATTTATAGAACAAGAAACGTCACCTTCATTCCAACTTTGCAGCCCGAGTTCTATTCTGTAACATTGACTTTGAGTTGCATCACTGAAAACGATATGTCCGTCTGCGGTAAAGAGGCCATGCTGGCCCCCGACACTCGAGGGCCCTAAACAGAACAATCCTGTCTGCATTGTGGTTGCCGTCTCCCAGCGGACACATACTGTTTTAGTGAAGTTTCCAACTAGGACTGTGGTCCTTTTCCTGGATTCCGTGTCCTTTGTCTGGCTTTGTAAATCTTCAAAAACAGTACAGTGAGTGAAAAAAGGCACATTGAATGAAGCCAGTGTATCCTGGCCTCTGTATTGTTCCTGAGTTTGGCAACTTGGATCTTGTGACATACACTCTCCTGGCAAGGGACAGAGCTTCCTTTGTGCCTCCCCTGTCTCGTTCTTGTGAAACCTTAACATTGGTTTTTTTTTCACTAACCTTGAGGTAAAAAACTGTTACTCAGAGCAAACAGGAGAGAAGGGTGAGTATGTATGCAGAGGGGAATCATTGGTTAGTTTGATAATGATAAAGATGCTGCTGTGCAAACCCAATGACAGAAAAAAAGTGTGTTAATGAGAAAAAGAGGAAGTTAAAACCGAAACAAACGTGTAGCTTAGGATAGGGCATTCAATTGTTAATATGAAATGAGAAATGATTCAAGGCAAACCACACCGCACTCCAAGGCAAAAACAGATACAGACTTGACTACTGGAAGGAACACTTGAAAAAGGACCTCTCCTTTTTGGTTTTTAAGTGTTCCTTCAGACAGGATGGGAGAAACAAACCCGAGAAGGAGTGAGAGCGGCGGTGCTCAGACTGAGGAGAGGTCATGCTGGGGATGACACTTTGGACACGAGCCGAGTACTCTGGGTAAACAGATGAAGGATGATGAGAGAGAGAAGAATGATGATGACAAAACTAAAGGAAAAAGGAAACAAGCGAGACAAGGCCCGCCTGTGAATAGAAACTGAGATGTTCCCATGATTTCAAGACAATTCATACGAAAGTTTCAATCTTTGAGGGTTGACGTGTACGCCCAATCTAGGACTTTCACAATAGAAGTAAAACACTATTGTCTTAAATACTTGGAATAAATCATGGAATAGGAGGAATTCAATTGATACAGGAAGTAGAAATCAGTCCAACACAACAACAAATCCCTACACTTCTCACTCCTAATGGTGTTAAACTAGCATGTATTTCGTAATGTGAATATTTACATTGAATTGGCTGTAATGTGAAGTTGACCGTATTGTTTGTTCCATAAAAGCTCTTTCTGCCGTTCGTTATCTGAGGGCTCTGTTTTGTGTTGACTTTCTTGCTGCCCTGCAGGATGTCTGATGTGCTTATCTAGGGACAGTCAACCTGCTGGACTGCAGAGAGCACTTCCTGTTTGAGCCTGAGGGATTGGGGCTGATGAGGTGACATTCAGGAAATGAGATAAGGACAGAGCAGTGTTTTCGGAAAGACGTGTGTACAGTGTGTACATTACACTCAGTACATGTTCTGTTCTACATTTTCTGCCACAATACAAATATTACATACAACTGGTATAATGAATAATACCTAGTACAATGATTTGGCATTTAGTATTCAGCAACGTAGGGTCACACTGTTGTCTCTACTGGATAATGTAAATAATAACCATATGTAGATAATTATAATGTGATAGGCTCCAGCCAAAATTCTGTTTTGTGCAAGGCCTCAAAAATGTTGGACAACAGATTGGCTGTACAATCAAAATGATACATGGCTCGTTTTAAAGCAGAGGAGTCACACATACCTGAGAAAAGTATTGCACAAATTGCACGTAGAATTATAATTAAACAGCTTAATACCATTATTATGACATGAAAAAAAAGTTTAAGTCAAAGGTAATAACATATTTCAGTTACATTCTAACGAAAACTCAAAAAATGTAATAAAAACATTTGAATCTGTTTTAGAGCAGCAGCAGCAGCTTCTTGTTTTATTAAAGCATTGCGAAAGGGCAAACCAAGGATTATATCCAATATTCCCAAAGACTGTGCCACTATATTCTCAGATAATTCTTCTTTGTTAAATATACTGTAGGCCAAGGTCAATGCCCTCACCTAAAAAGCTGGGACAGTGAACAGTGCAGCGTCTGTGGAAATATTGGATTTTAAGATGTATTTTGCCTCGGGCAAACATGTTACCATTCCTGGCAGACTATATGAATCTGAGAAATCACGTAAAAACATATAAAGACGCAACCTGCTGCTGGATGACATATACTTCTTTCTTTAAATAAAAGGTCATACATAGATTAAATTCATTAATGTTGGATCTTACCTGCCACTCTTTGGGCCACCAGACCTTCAACGTTGAAAACTTGATCCTGCTCACTGTCTGTTGGCTGGGGTGATGCTGAGGCGGCACTGGGGCTCCTCTGGGGCTCAGTGACCTCCGCAGACTGGGACAGTGTGCTTGGTGGATAGTTGCTGATGGGCTTGAGCTGGATGTGACCAGCTACAGTGGGGTAGGCTAGTGAGGGAGGACTTGTTACATCCCTTTCAGATGAGTAACTCAGAGATCCCTGGACAGGAGCAGGCTCCGGCGTCCTCGGCTTCCCAGGGGACATCTGACCCGGGGACGAGTGGCTGGCCAGGCTGGACATGGGGCCAGAAAAGTGGCTATGAATGGCTGAGTCAGCCTGTGTGGAGGGCCTGGGTTGGCTCTGGGAGAAGGACGGCTGGGTGGTCACTACAACACAGTTTTCCTGCAGTGGAGCACTTTGGGACTTTGGCACCAGCGTACGGCCTGGTTGCAGGTCCATCATGAGGAGATTAAGGGTTTCAATAGATTCCTCAATTTCATGCTGGGAAGCGCTCTGGTGGTTAGGGAATTGTGGGAGGCTGTGGTGGCTGGACATCACCACTGTAGAAGGAGGTTGACTGAAGGTGAGTCCTTCAGTAACGGGCTCCTCCGTTACACCAAACTGCTGCCAAACGTTGAGCCCGCGCTGGACGGCATCCCTGCTACTGGTGGTGCGGGCTGGAGCTTGAGGCAAAGAGTTTTGCTCTGCTCCAAACGACTGAGAGTGGAACACATTGCCGTTCTGCTTAGCCGTGTAATAACCCGAGGATGGGGCGGACTCACTTTGGGTCAGAGTGGCGGATTTTTGGGGTATGGTAGTTTCTAGAGGCTTTTCTGGGGCACTGCGCTCCAGGTACGGCACATGCTCCTGGCCATTGACAATTGGCTCAGGCTGGTAGTAAAGATCAGCTGGTGTAACCCTGCCATCTGTGGAGGAGAACGTCCCCAGACTGTCCACAGTGTGTCCCTCCTGACTGGTAGGCATGTCATCGTCCAAAATGTCTGTCTCACGGTCAATGCTACCGTGCCCGTTGACATGGACCTGGGCAGGCACCAGGTGAAGCATGCCTCCAACCGTGGAAGCCGGCAGGGACAGGTAGCCCTGTCGGTGCATGGGCCCCTCCAGGCCACTCAGCAGCTGCTCGAGCTCCTGCTTCTCCTGGGGACTGATTGGTTGTTGTGCAGGTGGTTCTTGTTGATGGACCAAGGGTAGCTCCTCTCCTACAGGAACGTGTGTCTGGCTCACTGTGGAAGCCTGAGGAGCTGCTGCCGCTTCATCAGTTCGGTCAGTTTTGATTGAGGCAGTAGAGTTTCCTGAGTCGCTGCTCACTGACAAGGCATGGTCAACCGCAGGTAGGGCGTGTTCCACCGCAGATGGTGGCAGGCCATTCGCTGTGACTGTTCCTTCCACGGACTCCTTTTTGCGAACTTTGGCGTAGAGGCTGCCATCCAAGGGTCCTTCAGTGTGGATGAGTTCTAAAACAAAGAATGACAGAGAGTCATTAGAATCAGATTAATCCAAATACAACAATTATTCCGCTTTCGAAACCCTTTCATTTACAACCGCCCAAGTATTTTCAGAGCCACAGAACTTTGGTAAAAACTGAAATAAATGTTCACTCTAAATAGTAGAATGCATGATTCATCAAAACACTAACAAGAAAAGAATAAGGAACTATCATAAAGAGAAGTAGATGTGTTGGGGGATTGTGTGGGCATGGCCAAATGAAACACTGGCTTCTATCCACCTATTCTACCAGCTTCAGGAAATGAGCAGGGTCCGTGGCATGCACTGTGGAAAAGTCGATGAAATCACAGCAGCTTGCCTTACACTGCCTTCTCAAGCCTATTGGTTTAATCTGTACCACCTGAGGAAAAACTGGCATAATAAATGAGGATTCAGTTGAGGATTTAATTGTTTTCATCATGATGAAAATAAATGATTGAATGAACACCACAGACTATTAAACTTCACATTTGTTAACTCATGAACCCGGAAGGAATGCTGCAACGTAGATTATTTTTACTGAACACAAATGCACATGGTGTACACTCATGCTTTTACACTTTCACACACAACCACACCCAAGTCCAGTGTAGAGGAAGTAGGGTGCCCCGATCAGAAGAATTTAGTCATCACTGGAAAATCAGCATCACCTACTAAGGAAGGCCTGGAGGCTTTTCCTGGCCTTCGAAACCCAAAGCAAAACAAAAGCCCAACATACTGAGAGTCATTAAGTAGGTTGAAACACACACACACACACACTTACTCACAAGTACTTTTTTCCTTCCCTTCGTCCTGCATTCTCTGATACTGTACAACCAACACAGTGCATCAATGCAGACAGATTTATGTCTAACATCTCAAGACTCACAACTCCCTCAAGTCACTCCTACACACTATTTAGTAAACGTCTGTGTGGTGAGGCATTCAATAACAAAACAATACCTTGTCACATAGATTTCCTACTCTACTGCCCATTAAAGTTCAGAAGAAAAACTCATAACTCACGATGAGGCATGTCTTGATAAAAACATCAGATTCTACCGCTGGGAAAGGAGCTGCACAAAGAAGCTGTCTGTGTCTCTGTAACTTATAGATATCTCCATCTCGGCTTTAGTGAATACGGGCCTCTGTAATGGAGCTTGGTGGGCGTACACAGGCAGGGTACTGCAAGGTCTCCTTGGCTGGCCGGGGCAACTTGCCAAGGGAATGGCGCACTTTAGTTAGTGGCTGCACTGTTGGAAACAAATCTGGTGGCTCTTGGTTGCAGACAAACACAGCGCATGTTTTCTACTACTTATCCGTTGGTGAGTTTACGATTGGTGCATTGGTGGACCGCGAGTGGGAAAAAACCACTATGGTATGGCTATGTCTAGACTGATAATGGCCTGTAGCAATATTGCTTGCCATTTGGTCGGTTTGTATTAGTTGCAGTACATTCAAATTCAATTCAAGATTCAAAGGTTTCATTGTCATATGCACAAAGCTACAGTGTAGAAATGGCAATGAAATCCTTCTGACCTGAGCTCCTCCAACAATGCAACATGTATAATAAAATGCAAGAATACAAAATACAAAATAAAAAGTAGTGCAAAAAGTCTATATACATGTCAATAGAATATAGGATATGTACAAGAACAGAATATATAATTAAATAATGTAAATCAAGACCAAATTAAATACGGCCTATGGAGCACAGTATAAGTTGTTAATACCCATGAAAGAACAGATAATAATCCAATAAACTGATGCATCATGATGCAAACGTTCAGATTCTGCGAGCAAGTCAATTCTTTGTACCCTAAACAAGTTAGCTGCTAAGACTAGAGGCTTCAGATCAAGTCATCATTACACATTTATATAGTATCAAGTTTGGGGCTCTGGATGCATTTCGGTGCACTTGAGCGACACACACACACACACACACACACACACACACACACACACACACACACACACACACACACACACACACACACACACACACACACACACACACACACACACACACACACACACACACACACACACACACACACACACACACACACACACACACACACACACACACACACACACACACACACACACACACACACACACACACACACACACACACACACACACACACTTATCCATCAGCCATGAAGATAAACATAGACATAAGTCGTGAAAGAAGAACCCGCCCTCACTTTCTCCATTTCAGTACCTTTATAATCCCCTGCCACTCAAGTCAAATGTGACTTTTGAGCAATTAGGATCATTAGTCGCACAGCTTACTGACTTAAAGCCTGACAACACTTGAACAAGTTACCTAAAAGTAGCCGAAGAGAATATTAGCAGAAAACCTCAGCAGATTCCCTACCTGTGAGAGCAGTGGACGATGTTACAGTCCCAATCTAAGATGAGTAGAGCCCTTCCATACAGAGCAGTGGAAACCAACATGAGATGAGAAAAGCCCTGCAGAGTAGCCCCCGGGGTGGGACATGGGGGATTGCTTGGGGGGAGTTAGTTTTGTTCCTTCTCCTCCTCCCTCTTCTCAATAGCTGTGTGGCCGGATCAGAGAGCTACTGCTGCTGTCAGTGGCTCGCAGCAGTCTAAAGGCTGTGTGTGCGTATGTGGGAGGTCTATCACTACAGCCTGTTGGACGGTGTATGAGAGAGGTGGGGGGGGAACGGATTGAAATCCAAAGTAGAGTTTGACAGGATGACATCAGTCCCTTTAGGTTTGGCTCCCTAACACACCTACTTCCTGGATGTCAGTGGTGGAAAGTATAATAACTCAAGTACCATACTTAAGCAATAATAAGCCATAATTACTAAATACTTTACTTGAGTATTACATTTTATGCTACTTTCTACTTCTACTGCTCTACATTTTTGAGACAAATATTGTAATGTGACTATTAAAAACATGTGAAATGCTTATGAGATAACATGGAGTAATACTGATATATAAACACAACCCAATACATTAAAAGTATATAAAAGTGGCTCCACAAATGCTTTTCCATGTATTATATGATGATGTAACACTGTGAAAATAACTGTACTGCATATTGAGAACTTGTACTTGTTGTTGTCCTTTTAGCTAATAACACTGCTGTACTTCTACTACTAACATTTTGAATTCAGGATGTGTTCTTGTAATGGAGTATTGTTATTGACCCTTTATTCCAATAATTGTGTCTACAAATTGCAACAGTATTTAAGGCTTGTGTTCTTTAAAAAGGGCTGCAAAGCATACTCTCATTTGGAGAAATAAGCCCTTTCCATGTTAAAAGCACACAGAGATGACCGTCTTTTAGCACACTGGTGTCAAAAGCACACATGTAATGGAAATAGTTACTTGGTCCAACAACAGTCATTTAACAAGCTCTCTCCGAGCAAGGAAGCAGGAGAAAACTCCACCCTGCAGCAGGCAGATGGAGAAAACAGAAAAGCGTAGTGGGTTAAAAAGAGAAATATAAAAGAAAGTGAGTGGGCTGCTGATCTGAGAGGCTCATTGTTGTACTGGCAAAGACAAAAAATGATAGAGTCAGATGGAGAACATTTACAGCAGTTGTTGGCTTGGATGGAACATACGCACACAAAACCCAACCTTTTTTCCCACTGTTGGAAATATTTGAGTTTATATCACCTTACCATCTGCTCATATTAGCATGCAGGACAGTCACTTGACTATAGCACACCACAACGTAGAACAATTCCACAAACGTCACTTTGGTTGATAACAATAAACATGTGACTTTGGCCTCCACAATACTTTTCTATTATTTCCCCATGTCTCGAGCAGATTTAATGGAAGTTATATGATTGTAGATGACTGTTTTCCCTAAATGAACTCATAGATTTACACACCAATTCTACCCTCACATCCTTCCCCTGGCCTCTCACTTTATTCTTACGTGAGGATGATGGTACTGACTGCGATGATGCCAGCTGTTTTCCTTTGGTCCCTCTCTCCTATCCAATGAAAGCTCGATTCAGCCAGCCCTCTTGCACTAGCTCATGTCTTCACTTTAGACGCAACGTGACCCATGAGCAAACGACAGCATCCCCATTTGTACTACAGGAAATCCAATCTGTCACTTTTTACGCCAAGCAGACTATTTATGTTGAGACTGCTTCTGTGCGCGATGCTATGTCTGCTTTCTGTTTTCATTTGGTGGAAATGAACACACGTAAGCCTCCGCAAATAACCTCTGACGGTGTTCCTTCAGGTGATAAGAAAGGGCATATGTATGTCTGATATCTTTCAGTGTGTGTGTCCACGTCTGGGAGTTTCAACATACTCCCCAGGAGGGAAATACTTGCTCTGTGATCCCAGGCACATTAGAGAGAAGAGAATGTCTGCTCTCAACCCTATCGCCCTGAACAATTATACAACAGCAGGAGGAGTGGGCCATGTGTGACCAGTCTGGAATGACCCATCGCTACCTCCTCTCCATTAGAAAGCCTTAGGGTTAGGGTTAGGTGTTCAAACTGTTCTCTCAGATGTTAAAAGTCTAGACAGACAAAAATCATTGCAGACTCACAACAACGTTCATCAGAAATGAACTCTGTGTGGTAGACCTAAAGTGCTGCCAGATATTTTAAGGTTCTGTAGGCCAGATGGTGCAACTGTGTGACCTCTTGATCTTTAAATGTAGCGCCCTGACCCCTGTGGCAGAATATCCCCTTCACAGCAGAAATAGCATGTTTCCCCACCAACGTACATGTGCTACCCTGAGCTCGTGTATGTATGGGCATTCCAAGACACTCGAGGGTACGTGTCTTTAATGAAAAGCAATGATGAAACCTGTTCTGAGAATGTTCCTTGAGGTATAAACTGCTGCAAGCCCTAATAGTCTGACAAAAATAAAGCTCTTAGTGTGTTTATGTTCATAAGCCTGAGAGAATGAAGAGCTTCAGAAGTTCTACATGATGGTCTTACAGTATGTAAGTATAGCCTGGTGCCATATTTGGCAAAA